CTTCCTGCTGTTACTTCAGTTGTTTCTCTGTGTTACTAGCCGGGTTTAACTTGATCTTTCTGTTGTGTTTTCAACTATTAATATTAGTCAACAGATCCTAAATAAAGTTTCAACTATTAATATTTGTCCTCAGATCCTAAATAAACATTAATTGCATTAACAGAATTGCATATTGAAACATGTTATAATAAATTTCATTATCATTTAAAGTTCATAACAGCTAAACATGCCCCGGAATTCAAACGTAATAGTCCATCCCACAGTTTGTTCATTATTAAGTGCAAAGCTACACAATGGGCTATCCATGCTGTGCCCACTACACGTATCTAAATCCAATTTTTAGAGGTGTGAACCATCAGACTTACCACTGAGCCACTATCCCACAGTTAAACCAAACTTTGTTTCATGGTTTATTTTATTAACTTCTTTCAAACTTGTAATAAGTTTATTATTCAATGAGTGATAGCTTTAAGTGGTTGATAATCACTGGGGATTCAGAAACCTGAACTATACAATGGGAAAGCAATAGGTGCTATCAGATCACACATTTTAAGTTTTGAATTTTACAAATATAATTTAATGTTTTTAAAATATAAAAGAGAAGTGAAACATGATTTTCTACATGTCAGAATTTTTGTCTCCAAGGTAAGATATGTAACCATCAACTTGTTACTCCTATTACAATAACTGTATATTGTAGGCTTTTCTACACATTTTCATATAGCAACAAACTGATTTCAACTAAAACTATCTACTGTAATTACTTAAACCCTTTTGGTTGTTTCTTTGACATTTAAAGTGACTAAAATATCAAATCAACTGATCAGGATTTCCACAGCATGAAAGAAGGCATGTTCACCAACTGATTATTGTATTTAATTAAATACTTATACATCATTAATGCATGCATAAATTAAAGCTGAACTTACTGTATTCAGAATTTCTGTACATTCACTCATGAACTAATACAAGAAATCTAAAAACAGTTTATTTATTTGTTGAATAAAACATGTAATGGCAGTGATCAAAGTAATATCAAACATGACAGAACAAAATTATTTACTTCTCAAAAACCTACATAATTTCACACGTTTTATCAACATAGGGTAATAGGTGTGAAATATTTCAACACCTTCTGTTGGACACTTCATCACCTCCAGTTTCATGAGACAGGAAATATACATGATCTATTGATTGACTACTACTGATACTGTATCATACAAACTACTTTATCGGTTCAGTTTCACCAGACAGTCTAGGCAGGAAGTATACATGATCTATTGATTGACTACTACTGATACTTACTTCCTGCCTAGTAAAACTGAACCAGTAAAGTTTGTATTATACGGTATCAGTAGTAGTCAATCAATAGATCATGTATACTTCCTGCCTAGTAAAACTGAACCAGTAAAGTTTGTATTATACTTTGTATTATACAGTATCAGTGCTAATCTATAGATCATGTATACTTCCTGTCTGGACTGTCTGGTGAAACTGAACCATTAAAGTAGTTTGTATTATACAGTATCAGTTGCAATCAATAGATCATGTATACTTCCTGTCTGGACTGTCTAGTGAAACTGAACCGATAAAGTAGTTTGTATTATACAGTATCAGTAGTAGTTAATTGATAGATCATGTATACTTCCTGTCTAGTAAAACTAAACCAGTAAAGTTTGTATTATACAGTATCAGTAGTAGTAAATCAATATATCATGTACTACGTTATTGGTTCAGTTTCACCAGACAGGAAGTATACATGATCTATTGATTACTATTGATACTGTATAATATAAACTACATTATTGGTTCAGTTTCACCAGACAGTCCAGACAGGAAGTATACATGATCTATTGATTACTATTGATACTGTATAAACTAGTTAGTACAGCATAACCCAGCAGTTCTAAACTAGCTGGTACAACATAACACGGCAGTCCTATACAAGCTGATACAGCAGTTATAAACTAGTTAGTGTAGCGTAACGCAGCAGTTATAAACAAACTGATAAAGCAGTTATAAACTAGTTAGTATTGCATAACACAGCAATTCTAAACTATCTGGTACAGCACAACACAGCAGTCCTATACAAGCTGGTACAGCATAACACAAAAATTTTAAACAAGCTGATACAGCAGTTATAAACTAGTTAGTATAGCATAACACTGCAGTTCTAAACTAGCTGGTACAGCATAACACAGCATCCCTAAGCTAGCTGGTACAGGATAACACAGTAGCCCTAAGCTAGCTGGTACAGGATAACACAGCAGTTCTAACCTAGCTGGCACAGCATAACACAGCAGATCTAAACAAGCTGGTACAGCATAACACAACAGTTCTAAACAAGCTGATACAGCTGTTATAAACTACTTAGTATAGCGTAACATAGCATCCCTAAACTAGCTAGTACAGCAGTTATAAACTATTAGTATAGCGTAACACAGCAGCCCTAAACTAGCTAGTACAGCAAAACACAGCAGTCCTAAACTAGCTAGTACAGCATAACACAGCAGTTCTAAATTAGCTGGTACAGCATATCACAGAAGTCCCAAACTAGCTGGTACAGCATAAGACAGCAGACCTAAACTAACTGGTAGAGCATAACACAGAAGTCCCAAACTAGCTGGTACAGCATAACACAGCAGACCTAAACTAACTGGTAGAACATAACACAGCAGTCCTAAACTAGCTAGTACAGCATAACACAGCAGTTATAAACTAGCTGGTACAGCATATCACAGAAGTCCTAAACTAGCTGGCACAGCATAACACAGCAGACCTAAACTAACTGGTAGATAATAACACAGCAGTCCTAAACTAGCTAGTACAGTATAAGACAGCAGTTCTAAACGTGCTGGTACAGAATAATTCAGCAGTCCTAAACTAACTGGTACAGCATAACACAGAAATCCCAAACAAGCTGATACAGCAGTTTAAAACTAGTTAGTGTAGCATAACACAGCAGCTCTAAACTAGCTGGTACATCACAACACAGCAGCCCTAAGCTGGCTGGGACAGGATAACACAGCAGTTCTAACCTAGCTGGCACAGCATAACACAGCAATGCTAAACTAGTTGGTACAGCATAACACAGCAGTTCTAAATTTGCTGGTACAGCATAATACAGTAGTCTTAAACGAAGTGGTACAGTGTAACACATAAGTCATAAACTAACTGGTACAGCATAACACAAGTCCTAAACTAGTTAATACAGCATAACACAACAGTTCCAAGCTAGCTGGTACAGGATAACAAAGTAGTTCTAACATAGCTGGCACAGCTGATACAGCAGTTATAAACTAGTTAGTATAGCGTAACACAGCAGTTCTAATCAAGCTAATACAACAGTTATAAACTAGTTAGTATAGCATAACACAGCAGTTCTAAACTAGCTGGTACAGCATAACACAGCATCCCTAAGCTAGCTGGCACAGGATAACACAGCAGTTCTAACCGAGCTGGTACAGGATAACACAGCAGTTCTAACCTAGCTGGCACAGGATAACACAACAGTTCTAAACAAGCTGATACAGGATAACACAGCAGCCCCAAACTAGTTGGTACACCAAAACACATCAGCCCTAAGCTAGCTGGTACAGCAGTTATAAACTAGTTAGTATAGCATAACACAGCAGTTCTAAACTAGCTGGTACAGCATAACACAAAGGTCCTAAACTAGTTGGTACAGCATAACACAAAGGTCCTAAACTAGTTGGTACAACCATAACACATCAGCCCTATGCTAGCTGGTACAGGATAACACAACAGTTCTAACCTAGCTGGCACAGCATAACAGAGCAGACCTAAACAAGCTGATACAGCAGTTATAAACTAGCTGGTACAGCATAACACAGAAGTCCTAAACTAGTTGGTACACCATAACACATCAGCCATAAGCTAGCTGGTACAGCAGTTATAAACTAATTAGTATAGCGTAACACAGCAGTTCTAAACAAGCTGATATAGCAGTTATAAACTAGCTTGTACAGCATAACACAGCAGTCCATAACTAGCTGGTAGACCATAACACAGCGGTCCTAAACTAACTGGTACACCATAACACAGCAGCCCTAAACAAGCTAGTACAGTATAGTACAGCAGTTCTAAACTTGCTGGTACAGCATAACACAGCTGTCCTAAACTAGCTAGTACAGCATAACACAGCAGCCCTAAACTAACTGGTAGACCATAACACTACAGCCCTACACTAGCTGGTAGACCATAATACAGCAGCCTAAAAGTTCTAAAAACCTGACAGAGCATAACTGAAGTTCTAAAAAACCTGACAGAGTATAAAACAGCAGTCCTAAAGTAGATGGTAGACCATAACACAGTCCTAATCTAGCTGGTACACCATAACATGGTAGTCCTAATCTAGATGCTACATCATAACACAACAGTCCTAAAGTAGGTGGTAGACCATAACACAAGTCCTAACCAGCTGGTAGCAAATAGCAACTGAGAGGTCAGTTCTAAATTATTAAATTTAGAGCACTGATGGCAGGAATAAGAATAAGCAAAGTGAAAAAAAAGAAAGAATCTGATATATTTTAAGTCGAATTCCATGCAAGGGGGCATGCTCCCCCTGAAAAAAAAAATTTGAAAACTAGAAACATTTGTGCATTTGTTTTTGTTATATATATCTGACACAAATGATGACTTTATATTTTAGAGTAAACTATGCAACATTCTGTGTAGCCAAACACAGCAGTGGTTATACAAAAAATATTGAAAAGTAGAAAAGAAACTGTTGCTGTGTGAAACTGAATGTGGCAGAGCTTATTTATAAAAGCTCAAAGTAAAGCATGTTTTATTTTTGAGTGTGTTACTGTAATGGTAATCCAAGTAATGAAGTATTATCTATCCCCCCTAAAAAAAACAACAACATTATCCTGGATACTATGGATCTCACAAACACATCTAAGTCACATAAAGGACAGAAACCTGAAAATTGTCATCCCCATAAGGTTGCAGCCAGAAGAACAATGCCAACAAAAATCTTTACACAACTTGTAGAAACTATATTTACTAACGTGATTCATGCAAGTTCACAGATACATGACTTTTTCAAGTCTATTATGACTACAGTACTTACATTTTCCAAGTTTTGGTGTTTTACTTGGTTTTATGGTTAACTGTTTTAATGAAAAATCAGATGTAGTATTTCACAGAATCTTTAAGTGAATCATATACATTGTTGTAAACATACATGAGAACTTTAGTTCCTCTGGTAAACAGCACAATTTAGTCCACAACATGAACAGCCAAGCATATTAACTGGATGAGTTCTGTGTCCATCCCTGTTCAAACTGTGATTTGTTCTTCAAGAGGTAGGCAGCAAGATAGTCAATGGGATCAGGTGGTCTGTAAAGTTAAAACATGCATGCTTATAGTATATTACAGTGTACTATTTAACAATATCAATAAAAAAAAACTACGTACAAGCATAAAGAAACTGAAAAAACACGTGTTTCTGGTAACAAAGAGTATTAATCAGACTTTAAAAAGCCAAACCATGTTTTTACAGATCTAAATGACTACCTCTATGTCACCCACTTGGATTCATCCTGCCCTGAAAGCAAAACTGTCATAGAAAATAAACTGTACTTGTTATTTCATAATTTTGTTTTAAGTACTTTATTTATACTTTAAATTTTAACAATGAAAAACTTTAATATATTTAATTTTATACCCAAAAATTGTTTAAAACCTCCAAATTTTGATCTTAAGATTATCTCACCATACTAAAAACAAAAACAACGATATCTCTAAATTTCCAGAATTTTTTTTTCTGATAATAATATGGCACTTATAGCCCCCAAGAATGAAATCAAAAATAGTTATGAACAATTCACGGTCAATTCAAACAATAGCAGCTTAATCAATTTTAGCCAATCTCTGTTCCTCAGTTTCAGTTGCCATACTGTGATGTATAACCGAGCTCTGGAAAGTCACAGCTGTTTCCCACTTTTCATTATAAATTTCAGTCATCATTGTGTGACATCTATCTCAACTTTTGGAAGTCACTGCTGTTTCCCAATTTTGTCAACAATTTCAGTTGTCATGGTGTAGTGTATATCTCAGCTTTTGGAAGTCACTGCTGTTTCCCAATTTTGTCAACAACTTCAGTTTTTATGGTGTAGTGTATATCTCAGCTTTAGAAGTCACTGCTGTTTCCCAATTTTGTCAACAACTTCAGTTGTCATGGTGTAGTGTACATCTCAGTTTTGGAAGTCACTGCTGTTTCTCAATTTTGTCAACAACTTCAGTTGTCATGGTGTAGTGTATATCTCAGCTTTGGGAAGTCACAGATGTTTCCTACTTTTTTTCATCACTTTTGGTTGTCAAAATGTGATGCATATCTTGGGTTGGGAAGCCATAGCTATTCCCCCCATTTCAGTGGAGAATTGTACAGTGATAAAATTTTATCTTGGTTATATATTGCTAGAAGAACTTACACCATGATTACAGTCCTGATTTTTTGCTAAGGTGTGAGAAAAGCTTGCTTTATCATTATTAAATCACTTGAATTACAATGTTGCTGTATCAAAGGAATATTTTCCAAGGAACAGGCTGAAGTAAAATTAGTTATATCACTTTACACTAGACTGAATCAAATTTTAATCAATTATATTTGTCGTAGTATTACTCCTATTACATTTTATAACACTACAATCTTTAATCAGTTTGGATTTTTCAAGAAAAATTGAATAAGTGTATAATAATAGTATTTCAACTATAGTACGTTCACCATATCTATGTTTCACTCAACCCAGAGCTCATCAGGTATAACAAGCTGTAATAACATTACATAACAAGACATCAGAACAATGTATATTAAGTTGAAAGAACATTACATAACAAGATATCAAAACAATGTATAAGAAGTTGTAATAACATTACATAACAAGGTATCAATAAATGTGTAAACAAACGTTACATAACAAGACATCAGAACAATGCACTAGAAAGTGAAATAACATTACATCACAAAAAGATATCAGAACAATGTATATGAAGTTGTAATAACATTACATCACAAAACGATATCAGAACAATGTATATCAAGTTGTGATAACATTACATCACAAAAAGATATCAGAACAATGTATAACAAGTTGTGACAATATTACACAAGACAACATCAGAACAATGTACAACAAGTTATAATAACATTACATAACAAGACATCAGAACAATATACGTCAAGTTATTAAGTTTTATGTTTTCTGTGCAGTTAAGAAAAAGGTAACACTATGATCATTGTTTCAGAACTCATGTGAGGTTTGAAAATTACATTATCTATTACCTGAAAATAAAAACATTTCCTCAACAATAAATAGTGATAAATCTGAATTAGTATATACCACACTTACAAATTAAAGATATATATATATATCTGGAATTAAAGCTGATGTTAATGAATAACACAGTAAATTACCTTTCTTTAACCAAGGCTGACAAGCTCTGTAAGAGAATGGGTACAACAGTTGTATCGAGATATTGTCTTGTTGGCAAGTTCTGAAGGTCTACCCTGGGCTTTTTAGTCTGACTATCTTTGTCAGCTGCCATAACTTTCTGTCAGTGAATACAACACATCACTAAACATTCATTTTAGAAATCTATCTTAACATAAAAACTAATTATGAACTCTTATATTTTAGTTTAGTTCATGTACAGTATTAATGGTGTAAGACCTGTTCACTGTACATAACAAGAGAACCACTAAGGCTGTCAATTTGATAGTTTTCATTTTTAAAAGTTAAATATCCTGCATGTATGAAAGATACGCCATTGACTATTCATGACCATGATGGTGTTTGGAAGGCAGAATTACAAAAACAAAGAAGTTATAATCACTTTTACCCAGAACCACCAAGACCCATCAAATTAACTGCTGTTTACAATACACGATTCTATTTATAAACACTTTTACCTGGAACCACCAAGACCAATCAATTTGACTGCTGTTTACAATACACTACTCTATTTATAAACACTTTTACTTAAAACCACCAAGACCTATCAATTTGACTGTTGTTTACAATACACTACTCTATTTATAAACACTTTTACATAGAACCACCAAGACCAATCAATTTGACAGCTGTTTACAATACACTATTCTATTTATAAACACTTTTACCTAGAACCACCAAGACCCATCAAATTAACTGCTGTTTACTACTCTATTTATAAACACTTTTACTTAAAACCACCAAGACCTATCAATTTGACTGTTGTTTACAATACACTACTCTATTTATAAACACTTTTACTTAAAACCACCAAGACCCATCAATTTGACTGCTGTTTACAATACTCTATTCTATTTATAAACACTTTTGCATAGAACCACCAAAAAAAAATTTGACTGCTGTTTACAATACACTATTCTATTTATAAACACTTTTACTTAGAACCACCAAGACCAATCATTTGACTGTTGTTTACAATACAGTCTTCTATTTATAAACACTTTTACCTAGAACCACCAATTTGATGTTGTTTACAATACTCTTCTGTTTATAAACACTTTTACCTAGAACCACCAAGACTCATCAATTTGACTGTTGTTTACAATACTCTTCTGTTTATAAACACTTTTACCTAGAACCACCAAGACCCATCAATTTGGACTGTTGTTTACAATACTCTTCTGTTTATAAACACTTTTACCTAGAACCACCAAGACCGTCAAATTAATTGCTGTTTACAATACACTATTCTATTTATAAAAACTTTTACATAGAACCACCAAGACTCATCAATTTGACTGTTGTTTACAATACTCTTCTGTTTATAAACACTTTTACCTAGAACCATCAAGACCCATCAAATTAATTGCTGTTTACAATACACTATTCTATTTATAAAAACTTTTACATAGAACCACCAAGCCTCATCAATTTGACTGTTGTTTACAATACTCTTCTGTTTATAAACACTTTTACTTAGAACCA